ATTCGCTGAGATGAGCCCGCCGGAGGAGCAAGCGTCACACTCTCTCCGACTTTGACATACTCCATTGTGGCCAGCCGTTGGTTCTCTTCTTGAACAGCCAAGTGATAGATCCGGCCGAGCGATGGGACGGGATCCATGGCCAGAATCTGTGAGCGAAAAGGTGAGTAACTTTCGTTTAGGATCAAAAGAAACCGAGTTACCTTCTCCCTTTCTTTAATTTCTCTATATTGTTTGAGCGTGGTTTCGGGTCCTTCAAGCTGTTCCTCGGTTGCTTCAAGCTCATTCCATAGAGCCGACAGTCAATTGAAGCAAGCGGTAATCGAGAGGTTCCCTTGCTTCAATTCTGACAGGGATTGGGTGAGCGAAATTTTTTTTGCACAGTCGAGTTTTCCGTACATTTCGCGAATGTTGTCCCACATGATTCTTGAATCTTCGGTCGGTGGAAGTCCGGCCGCAACCTCAGGAGCTACACAATTCCCGATCCATGTGCGAACAAGTTGGTTGCACTTGCGCCAATGTCTTTGTATTCGGTCGTCGGCCGGAAAAGGCATGGTTCCGTCAAGGAAACCATCCTTATCCTTGGTCACTAGGGCTCGCCGGAAATCCCGAGCCCATGTAGTATAATTATCTGGTCCGGTGAGCTGCAAACTGATAAGTCGCAATTCAGGTCCGTCGGCCGGCGAAGTGTAGATCGGGTCACCAGGTTCTGGACGGCCGCCGGCAAGTGGAAAAGGATACGGCATGTAACCGGGTTGGAAAAAATCGGGTAGGGATTCATCCCTGGACCCGTCTGACCCGTTTCGGTGGTTTGACCCGAGCCATTTGGATGAGTCCCGAGGCTCGGATTCGTGTCTCCTTCATATGGCATGTGTTGAGCCCACTGCTGATTTGCCCCGGCAGCCCATTGACTCTGAACTGGGAACCACTGGATTGGAGGCCATTGGTTCTGGCTTGGAGTAGGTACTGGAATTCCAGTATGCTGATCAGAAGGCTGTCTGTCTTGTGCTACATTAGCTTGATCCAAAACTTGATTTTGGTTGGAAGAAGTTTCTTCCATTGTAGGTATGATTGGATCTGGGTTTTGATTTTCAGACATGGTATCACTGGTATATGGATGTGTGAATTCCTACTCGGAGTGCTAGTTCTGTTTTGCAGGAATGTTTTGCAATAACAAATCAGAAAACAACCGGAGGCAATTCAAAAAAAGAAATTTTGCGGAAGCTAGGTCGGGAACGAGGCTATGATACTATGACAGAAAAATAAGAGGATATGCGGGGGAAATTTGTAATTGTATTTCTCAGTGAATAATTGTACATGTACAAAGATGTATATATAGTACAAGAAGGTAAAGAAGAAATAGGAAAGAATATACATGAGGATGTTTTTTCCGATTCTATTGTCCGAATATTCCAATCTTGAGGATTGACTGAATCTGTGATTAGAATCATATCAAAGATCAAATCGGATAGAATCAAATCCTTTCTCCAACAGTAACATCCTTCTTCCATTATTCTCAACCAAAATTTTTTGTTTAATCAGTTCATCCCTACCAAAACTAAAGAAAGAAAAAAGAAGGACAAATCGTAACACCTGCTACAATTTGCACGTTACAGCATCTATCAACAGACTAGACATATAAATTGCAGAAAATTCAGACCGACAAGTCCGCGACATAAGTATTACCACACAACTGGGACTTTTGAACGACGAAATACGAAACAAGCACGATATCGAGGATTAACCACCACGATGGACATTGCAGGGATCATTTCATTGAATTCGACGACGAAACTCTACCGTGAATGTTGGTGTTTGTTTGTACAAATAAGGCATTTTCCTTGTCCCACGTAGGAAAGAAAGGAAAGGTTTGGTCTGTTTATAAGTTAAAGTGTTATCTACTATTGTAAATGGAGAAAATGAGTGAGTGGGCTGGACTCCACAATACCTACGTGCGGGTGTGTGATTATTAGGCGCACTTAGCACTTTGTAAGTTTGTGTACTGAAGACCAAATAAGCCTCAATCAACAAATTTTTTTTTTGACTTATGACTGTTCGGACAAAATTGTCCGTTTTAGGACATGAAGGGTATGTCCAAAGTTGACAGTTTTCATGCTTGAAAATTGCAATTTTTCGGACACGAAGGATTGTGTCCGATTGGCGGTTTTCACACACGAAGGGTTATGCCCGAATTGCAATTTTTCGGACATGAGTGGGTATGTCAGTATTGAAAGTTTAGACACTAAGAGGTGTGTTCTATTTGTATTATATATTGGACAATTATGTTCAATTTTTTATGATTCCTTCATTTTTTTTTCGTCTTCCTTAAAAGGAAAAAGGAGACATCCATTTTTTTCAATTGTTTTCATAGAGAGTTTTAGGAGATTTACTGGAATTGCTATCCAATATTCTCACCGTGACTTTGTTGTATCATGAAGGGAATTTGCTAGTAACCTATAGCAACTTCATGGGGCAAATTGATCCTAAAAGAGAGTCTCGTGTCCCACCAAATTCACATTTGATGACTGTTGAAGCTTTGTACGAAGCGCGCGAGCGAGACACTCCGGAAAATTTTCAGTTTGGCCTCGAGAAGTTTGATCTTATTCCTCTTTTGTCCCCCTCTCAAAGTTGTTCACTTCATTTCACTCCCATGTCCTCTCTACATTTCAGCAATTTGTCCCTTATGGGGGAACTACATTTTCGCCCTCCAAGTTTTTGGGGACCGTGGCAAGTTGCCCCCGACGTTTCCATTTTCGCAATTTGCCCCGTGAGTTTTTAAAATTTGGTGGCAAAGTGCCCCTAGCATCGACTCCGGCCAAATTTTCCTAGCATATCTGATTACATGACGACACATGAGTAGTTACGGAAGGCAAACTACTAAAACATCATTTACATATGTGCGAAAAAAATGTAGTATTTACTCAAAAATATATTTCACGACTATATATCGATATGCATTTGGCGTTGACTCCAATCAAATTCTTGACAGAGCTCAAATATATTTCTAAATTATCTTTTACCTTGTAAGTATATACTTATATGACAAATTTGTCCTCCGTAATTAGTCACGTGCTATCACGCGCTTGCAGCTGCAAGTAAAATTTGGTTCTAGCTCCAACACCAGGGGAAATATTGCAACCAATTACTAAAATTTGAGGGCAAATCAAGAAAATTGAAACGTCATGGGTAGTTTGCAACAATCCTAAAACTTGGGCAATATGTAATTTGCCCCGTTATCATGACACGGGCAGGGTGGATCAATGTTTTAAAACCATATTGGAGATCATATTGGATAGGTCACTGGTATACGGTTCAACCAATTTAACTAGCAAAACCGGGTGATTTGTACAAGACTACGCAAAAGGTCATGGTATCGACGATCATCGTGTGCTGATGCACGACTCTTTTTTAGATGACGGTGCAAAAGAACTATGGCCGGATCAGAGGCGCGACTAATACCGGGTCGAACCGATCGAACCAGTCGATCCCGTCCGATTTTTAAATCACTGATGCCGAGTGTTTTCGCAGCATTTGCCCACTTTATTGAATGAGAAATTATTCAAATTCTTAATGGATTAGCCACATCGATGAACTATAAAATCTTCTTAATTGGGTTATTTAATAAGCACCACTGGGACATTTTACAAGATCGTCGTGACGGAATTGGTAAGGTCCTTCAACTCGCAATTGCACTTTCAGAAAAGGTTCATCATTCGGTCTTGGGATTGTTTCCGGAGGCGATTTTAGCTGACAAGGACCCGCTGGCACTTTTGCTGTTTAACTAAGGAACCGCTTTTTAAGGAAAAAATGTTTAAGAAAAAAAAGGTCCCACTGCATCTTTTAAAAATTCCAAAAGGTCCTCGTGCCTTCCACTGGAGTGTGCACATTCGACCTAAATTGCCATGGCAATCGAAGTTGCGCATTAATCCCAATTGTTGTCGTGATTTAGGGTTTTAAAACTCTCGCCCGCGTCAAGCGCGGGCCGGTGATCCTCGCCCAACCTCTGGGTAGGGTCGGTTAGGCGACGGTGGCCCAACCCTTCCCTCCGTCCATTTCAACACTATTTCCCCTTCTTCACTAATCACGGTTACTTTTTCCGATGTTGACATTGACCCCTGTATTTTTTTTTTCCAAATCAGTATTTTGGTATCCATACTAGTATTTCGATGAAATAGTTTAATAGAAGGACTAATCATAGATCTTATAAAAAAGTTATACGGGTTGTATGTCCGAAGAATGCAAGGATAATTTTGGATTTCGAGTCAGAATAAAGAATTCTTGATGTGTGTTGTAAATTTTTGTCTAGTGCCATGATATACAAAATCTTAGGTTGTGTTTGGTTGATGTTTTTGTTTGGTTTATGTTTTTTTTTAGGTGATATATAGTCAATATAGAACCAATTATAAAATGATACTTCCTGATCAATGCTGAATTAGAAATCATATTAATGTCCTTAATCACATGTAGGCTTCACAAGGTTTTCATATTATTCATGTTGATGTTTAGAGTCAGAAAGAAAATAACGACAAAGTGTTTATGGTGGCTCAACCCTAATTAGGGTTGTATGATATGTATTTATAGGAGTGACTAATTACAGAAAGGGTACACATATAAACATAATTACATAAATATCCCATAATACATATAATTATACATTAATACTCCCCCTCAATCCGAAGTAGGTGTAACAACTGAGAGATTGGATCTTAATAACGCGTGACGCGGACTAGGTAGTCCCTTGGTGAAGATATCTGCCAATTGATCTGTTGTAGGCACGTAGCGAACATGGAGATCTCCGGAAGCAACCCGTTCTCGAACAAAATGGTAATCCAACTCAATGTGTTTGGTGCGAGCATGAAACACAGGGTTGATAGCAAGATAGGTGGCAGAGATGTTGTCACAATAAACGGTGAGAGGATTATAAAGGGGGACCCCAAGCTCACGAAGTAAATGACGAATCCAAATAGTCTCAAGAACAGTGAGCGACAAAGACGATACTCGCCTCACGTACTAGAACGGGCCACAGTGGGTTGCTTCTTGGCACTCCATGAAACAAGATTGGTGCCTAGAAAAACACAAAACCCGGAGGTGGACCGTCTAGTATCGGAGCATCCAGCCCAATCTGCATCCGCATAAGCAGTCAAGGAAGTGGGAGAACCCCGCTCAATGAGCAAGCCATGGGTGGAGGTGCCAGCTAAATATCGGTATATACGTTTGACGGCCTGGAGATGAGGTAATCGTGGTTGATGCATGAATTGACTAACCAAATTAACAGCAAAACTAATATCTGGTCTGATCATAGATACATACTGTAGAGCACCAACCATTTGTCGATACAACGTCGGAGAAGCGAGAACCTCACCATCATTAGCAGACAATAGAGTCTTCGAGGCTAGAGGAGTAGATACAGGCTTGACCTTAACAAGGTCAAACTTGCGCAAAAGACTATCAACATACTTGGCTTGAGATAAAAGCGTACCGTCAGAGCGGTGATGAGCCTCAATGCCTAGGAAATAGTGAAGTGGTCCAAGATCCTTCATAGCAAATTCCTGTGAGAGTCGAGTAATCAAAGACCGTAATAACTCAGGAGTATCACCGGTGACAAGGATATCATCAACATACAGCAGGAGATACACACGGCCCCGAGAAGAAGCATAGACGAATAATGAAGGATCGGCCTTACTCGCCATGAAGCCCAAAGATAATAAAAAACTGCTGAAGCGATGAAACCATGCACGTGGAGCTTGTTTTAAACAGTAGATGGCTTTCTGGAGACGGCACACATGATTCGGGAATTCAGGATGAGAGAAACCGGGAGGTTGGCGCATGTAAACTTCCTCACAAAGGATGCCGTGTAAGAAGGCATTCTTGACATCAAGTTGATGTATGGCCCATCCCGAGCAAATTGCAATAGAGAGAACAACCCAAATTGTAATGGGTTTAACGACTGGGCTAAAAGTCTCGTCATAGTCTAGTCCAGCTTGTGCTTAAATCCCTGTGCAACGAGGCGAGCTTTGAAGCGTTCCACAGTTCCATCAGATTTTTCCTTAATCTTAAAAACCCATTTACAACCGAAAAATTCTTAGAAGGATCAGGTGGTACAAGATCCCACGTGTGATTGGTGACCAAGGCATTAAATTCATCTGCCATGGCCGCTTTCCAACGAGGGTCAAGAATAGCCTTAGAATAGCAAGTCGGTGTCTCGTCATGAAAAGAATGAGAGAGATTAAAAATTTTCCTCTGTTTAAAAATTCCAGATTTGGCACGAGTCTGCATAGGATGAGTCGGAAGAGAGGAAATGGAAGTGGTAGAGCTGGATAGAGATGTAGAGGGGATTTGCGGGTCTGTTATGGGAGGAATTTTGTCGGGAGAGGAGTGAGGTTGAGACATAGTGACTGAGTTCGGAGAGAGGGGAGGTGGAGGTGAAAAAGAATTGGAAGTAGATTCGGTAGTTCGAGAGGAGGAGAGAGGCAAATTAGGAGGTTGGGCTTGAGAAGAAATAGAGGCGGATGAGAAATTTGAAGGCCAAAGGAAGTAGAAGGAAGAATAGATTGATTGGAGTAAACAAAAAGTGAAGAAGGTGATGTAGAACACTGGGGTACGGGACTATGATTTGAAGATTTTGTTGAAAAGGGAAAATTCTCCTCATCAAACCGAACATGACGACTGATAAAAACACGACCACTTGACCGATCAAGGCAACGATAGCATTTGTGATTTGACGCGTACCCAAGAAATACACATGGCACAGAATGAGGTGCCAGCTTATGAGAGACACGAGACGGAAGAAAAGGATAACAAGCACACCCAAAAACCCGAAAGAACGAGTAATCAAACTTGAACCCAAATAAACAGTGGAAAGGAGAAATATTAGATATGACAGGAGTGGGAAGTCGATTAATGGTGTAAACAGCAGTGAGAAGAGCATCGACCCAATATGAAGAAGGCATATGAGCATGGATTAATAAGGTTCGAGACATTTCAACTAAGTGTCTGATTTTGCGTTCGGATAAACCATTTTGAGATGGGGTTTGTGGACAAGAAAAACGTTGAATAATACCATTTTCACGTAAGTATGTTTGAAACGCATTGCTGGTATATTCACCTCCCCCATCAGTTTGTAAAAATTTAATTTTGGCATTGCACAAATTTTCGATAAAACAACGAAAGCGATGAAAGTGTGTAGGCACTTCAGATTTATTTTTCATGGGAAATGCCCAAGTGAACCGAGAATAATCATCAATGAATAACACAAAATATTTGAAACCAGAATTAAAGAAAATTGGACTCGTTCATACATCAGAATGAATTACAACTAAAGGAAAAAATGCACGATGACTAACAGACTCAAAAGGCAATCGATGAGACTTGCCTACAAGACAGGACTCACATGATATCAACTTAGAACTAGAATTGCAAACACGACTCAAAACTTGTTTATTTGGATGGCCAAGACGAGCATGCCAGCGAGTGAGTGAAGCAGAGGAAGCCACGATAGGATGCGACTGAGATGACACCATTGAGTTGGAAATCGGATAAAGACCATGAGAAGAATCAGCTTGGAGGAGAACTTTCCCAGTTTGTTTGTCCTTCAAAGAAAAGGATGAACCATTAAAATCAATGGCACAAGAATTTTTATGGCAAAGTTGAGCAACGGAGAGAAGATTGCGAGCAAGATTAGGAACATGATAGACGGGAGATAATAATAAAGATCGAGAACCAGTATGTAAAAAGGCTTTACCGACTTACTTAACAGGCAATAAACGACCATCACCAACCGAGACTTTTGTCAAATCGTAAAAAGGTCTAGGATTTAGGATGTTACCAATATCACTAGTCATGTGTGCCGACGCTCCACTGTCAAGATACCAAGATGAATCAGAGGTCTTACCAACCGAGAGAGCTGAGAACGAGTCCGACAGATTAGTAGTGGTAAAAGCATGGTTGAATCGTTGTCGACATTGTAGTGCAGTATGCCCAACTCCGTTACATATCTGACAAGTAAGATGAGGCCTAGATCCGAGAATACCTCCCGGTGTGAAAGGGGGAACATAGGGCTTCGAACCACCACGAGACCGACCAGAGGAGGTGGAGGAGGCATAGGGAGCCGATAATGATTGCGAACCGAACCGATCATAGGAAGATTGCCAATTCGATTTATCACGCGAGAATCGTCCACCTTGTCCCCGACCAGATCTACGACCTCTAGAATTACGTCCACCTCGAGATCCTCGAAACGGTGGACTGGGTGAAGTGGTGTGACCAATCAAAGCATGATGAATATCAGATGAAGATGATGCACTGGATTTTCGGAGAAATCGTTCTTCTTGAATGAGGAGACGTGACCGCAGATCACCGAAGGAGAGAATTGTAGGGCCGTTTGTGACCATAGTGACAAAAGGATCATACTCAGATGGGAGCCCATTGAGGGCTTGAATCACCAAGTCCTTGTCAGAGACGGTGTAATTGATTGCGGTGAGAGAGTCTGCAATTGACTTTAGATGCTGGAGATAATCAGACATTGACTGATCGGGTTTCTTCACAGTATTCTGAAAATCCAATTTTAGTCCAATTTCCTTGGCCGCGCAAAGATCAGTAAAACGTTGTCCTAGAGCAAGCCAAATCTCCCGAGATGTCCGAAGGTCGTGAACTTCACGGAAAATTTCGACTATGAGGGTCGAATTGATCAAACTACGAACACATTGATCTGTCTTCACCTAGGTGGAATAGGAAGTATTGACCACTACAGTGCCAGTCTGATCATTGATAAGCTTCGGCGGACATAGAAAAGAACCATCCACATAGCCCAGCAGATCGTTACAGATTAAAATAGATTCAAACTGAGATTTCCACAGAAGATAATTGTCTGCATCGAGTTTGATGGAGACGAGACTTGTGATGTTGGGAAGAACAAGCGACGACGAGGATGATTGCACAGCCGTAATTTGAGTAGCAGCAGAGATCGGAGCAGCAGTGAAGAGTGAAGAAGAGGGGAAAGTGGGCGCAATATTATCGGGAGGCGATGGGAAATTGGGATTAACAGAAAAAGAAGATGGTGGGTAAAGAGATGGTAGAGAAGAAGAAAAATTTAGAGATGTATTGGACATTGTTGAGATAGTCATTGGAGCAAAGGAAGTGTTGATTTGGGGTAGGGATGTTGAAGAATTCGATTCGTTTTCCTGCTCTGATACCATGTTGATGTTTAGAGTCAGAGAGAAAACAACGACAAAGTGTTTATGGTGGCTCAACCCTAATTAGGGTTGTATGATATGTATTTATAGGAGTGACTAATTACAGAAAGGGTACACATATAAACATAATTACATAAATACCTCATAATACATATAATTATACATTAATAATTCACACATCGGAATCTTCTAAATTTAGATGGATAATGTTGTAATGTAATTAAATAGATATTACCCTATAATGTAATAGAGCCATCGTATCCATTAGACTAATATAATACCTAGTATATTATTTGGTTTCATTAATGACATATATAATAAGAGGGGAATAGCATCATAATTCGCAAAATAGCCCTAAAATCAAAATTAGAGGAGACATAGTAATTATCACTTTAAGGATCAAATGCGAATTTTCATGAGTTCAAAACCACACATATGAATTAGATATATAATTTAGTGTATCAAATACTTATTTTTGTATTGATAATCTATCTATGATTATGATAAAAATTTAAACACATAGCATGTGATTATATTAGAAAAAATAATATATTATAGTAATTATCACTTTAATAGCCAATTGTGAGTGTATATCACATATGTATTATCAAATATTACATATTTAATATGTCAATTTTATCTAATACTTAATAATTAAGTTATAATTGTGATTTAAATTTAGTCATATGAAATGAGATCATATTAAAATAAATATTATTTCTTATAGTACGATTGAAATAATGATTTTGTAACGACTAGACCGGTACGTAATATAAGTAGTAACTAAGGTAATCATTATTTTAGTTATGAGCATTTATATAACATAATGAGAAACAATACTATGCTAATTATTGTAGTATGAATAATTACCAATCTAATAATTTATTATGTATTAGGATAACATAAATATTTATAGCATCAATCATTTACCTATTATTTGATTTTTTGTTTATTAGTAATAATGTGATTAAGTCAAAATAATCATAATTGGTGTTATTTATATAAATAATATAAATAGATTTACTCATAATTTATGTACAGTCAGGCTATAATAGCTATTACACAAGGGTCACATGTATTAGCTATTGGTTGTAATAGCAATTACGATGTAACATATTACTGCAAACGAACACCGTAGTAGGCAATCAATCTGTAATAAACCTATACTATCATTAAAAGGGCCTTGTTAACGAGATTTTGTTCGCGGTCACCCGTTGTAGTGGGCGCACCTATGTTGAGTAGACAAACACACATCTTATCAATGCCCATTTAAAACGAAACGAATAAGTATTGGGTATATTCTGATAATGTGAGCCGCATTCATCTTTAGATCAAGTGAGTTTCATGTGGGACTCACCTCATCCAACAATGTTCATGAGTTGGGTTCACATGTACCGGGCACACCTACGATTTCCGAAAAGGATCAACACATCTTACCAAGTATCTACGGTCGTCATATCTTTATCTTTTTTTCTCATTTGTGTCTGTGGGCAATCAATTTCTCGTATCCTAGCTCAAATTCAGGTGTCGAGATGACTATTGCATATCTACTAGGACTCACAACTCACGTGGACGACCCAGCTCGGAGAGGAGCATCGAAATGGAGCAGGTATTTTCATGGAGGAAGGACAAGTCAACTCTCGGTGGTCAGTGACATGAATGCTCTGTCCCTTCCAATCTTTCAAAACAGAAGCTGCAAAATGTCAGCCTTCCATTGGTGCTCTCAAAAAGACCAGACCCAGAACGATGAGGCAGAAACTTGTGTGTAAACGCATCCCCCCACTTCCATCACCAAAATAGGAGCCACCACAGTGGAAAAGGGATCATGATGCCCAAGACAAAGTTCTCAGTGGTTCCATGGGGCCAGAAGAAAACCATACTCCCCTCAGGAATGTCAGATTCCGTCTTTGGTCTCGAGCGTTCGTTCTATTCGCCGTGGAATAGAATGTTCATCGAAAGTAACACCAACGATCTTGCTACGCGGCCAATCGCCTGATTCTGGGATGACCAGTCAATGGAAGAGCGACTTCCATGATCATCGAATCTTGCGACGTATTGTTGCCTGTGAGAATCACAGATGGAGCAGTTCGGCTTTCGTTGGCCGTTGACGGAAGATGGAAAGATGTAGAGTATTCTTTCGGCTTAGTGACGAAACAACACAAGCAGCATTCACTTATTCTCTTCTAGGACACAAGACACATGGTAAAAAGAAATAAAGGAATGTACATTCTTCCACCAGTAACTTCACCACTCGGATTACAATAGTACAGCTCTCGGACTCTAATTTTTCCCAGGAGACGAAGGGCAAACATCCACGTCTCCAATGAAGTCTCACTACAGTGGTACAACAATTGGCAAACACAGCCTTTTCGAGGGACAACTACTCAATGGGGACGACACCATCTCGTGCGAAAATTTTCAGTACAAACCTATCTCCATAACATCCAACGATCACTGTTCTCTCCACCATATCGCTTGAATAGAGTTGAAGAAAGTCTTCGCTGATCTACAGTTTTACCTTGCCAGAGGCGAATGTTGGCTGGCTTGACCCTTTTCCTGCCTCTGGTGGAGAGGGGACCGGTGGTGCAAGGGCTCTTGGCCACGCCGATGAGCCATAGAATGAGAGGAACGAGCCCTGGGCTCTCTTGCTCTCTCACTCGAAGCTTCAAGCTGTTCTAGCGTCTCCACGACTTCTTTCATTGATGGACGACATTTCGGCTCAGGGCCAAGGCAACGTAAGGCGAGCTGAGCCACTTGGAATACGGTTTTCGCAGGATATTTTCCCTCCAGGTTAGAGTCCATAAGGGTCTTCAACTTTCGCTTATCAGCTAAATACGGCTTGACCCAGTCCACGAGATTATGTTTTCCACTTGGGCGATTGGTATCGAGCGCCCGCAGCCCCGTGAGCATCTCCGCCAATACCACACCAAATCCATACACATCACTCTTGATATACAGATGCCCTGCAATTTAATCACTCCACAGGGTAAGATCGCGTTGCTCAGACAATAGTCCAGCAATGTTTGATCACAACAATGGGAATACAGCTTTAAAAGAAATCATTTATCAATTACCTGTGGCCACATACTCTGGCGCGGCATACCCATATGTTCCCATGACACGCGTAGTCACATGAGATTGACTAGCAGAAGGACCCAACTTCGCCAATCCAAAGTCCGATAACTTGGCATTATAGGACTGAAAAAGGAGTAAAACTCAGTCCAAGTGAGAAAATGTCTCATAAATTTGTCATGGCAAAGTTCTTTATTGTCAATGCAATGTTGAAGGAGTATTTGACTACTCGTTGATGGGTTTCTTGAATCTAGTTCAAGATAAAATTGTCCTTACCCCGTCAAGGAGAATATTAGAGGCCTTGAAGTCTCTGTATATCACATGCTTGTCCGATGTATGTAGAAATGCAAGGCCTCGAGCTGCTCCGAGGGCGATTTTGATCCTTATTTCCATTGGAAGAGGCTGAACAGCCGAGCCCCCTACAAAGATGCATTCCCATGGTTAACTAGAAGACCGAAAAGTACTTGCGGTTTATCAAAATAACATAGTGTCCTCATTAAGGCGATTTCGCAGCACTGGAAAGCTTTCTACTTTAAAAGGTGCTTACTTCCAAATAGATGGTTCTCTAAGCTGCCCTTCTGCATGAATTCATACACAAGGAGCAGCTCTTTGTCTTCATAGCAGTATCCCATTAACTTCACAAGGTTCGGATGAGAAAGCCGTCCTAAGAAATGTATCTCAGACTGCACAACAAAACAACCAAAGTGATGAGGAATGATACCAGTTGCACCTATGAGAAAGAAATAAATGAGGGCCACGAAATTTTTCTCGTTTACTCGATAAACTACTTTGATCTGCTTGATCTACCATAAACATCTTATCCTATTCTGCAACTGAATTTTGTGAAGACAATAAATTGAGTTGTATAGGCGATACACACCCAAGAAGGCAGAACCCTCCCACATGTCAGCAATTTCAGTCCCTAAATCTTTTACCTCCTTGATTTTGTTCCCGAATCAATTAAGAAACGCAATTTTTTAGTACAGAAACAGCCTTATCTTTGGAGACAAAAGGCCAAAAGGGTGTGAACAACTTCAGAGAATTAAAAGGTACATTCCACCTACCGGGTCCATATTATAATAAGCATATGAAGCAATGAAATCGTGCAATGAGACCAAATGACATTAATAAACTATGTGAAAAGATAACAAGAAGGAAGCACAATCCAAAAGACAACAGGAAAAATAGCATCTAAATCATTATTGAACATAAAGATTCCATATTGTCTTTCTGAGTTTTGGAGATTAACCTGCCATTCCTCAACACCTTGCAGACTTTCGGAGTTCAATTTTTTTACTGCGATCACAGATCCGCTGCCGCTTCTTGACGAAGGCTTCTCTTCGAGCCATCCTTTGTACACTCTGCCAAATCCTCCTTCACCAAGCACCATATCGGCTCTAAAATTCTTGGTTGCCGCCTTTAACTCCGAGAAAGTGTAGATCCTCAGATTTGGGTGCGGCAAGATCTGCCCATTGGGAAAAGCCTCGTCCCCGCTTGACGCGGAGAAGCGGCTGTTCCGAGAGATATTGCTGCCCCCTGAGGATGTCGTGTTACTGGTTGTCTGGGAGATGACCTCTACAGCCACACAAGCCCATGCAAGAACACCGAAGATATTTAGAAGTCAAGAAAGAGTAGTGGCATCATTATGAATTGAGACAACTAAGCATGATTAAAGACAACCCAATCAGCCAATTGCTGGCTAAGGAAGGACATTCCAGAAATCTACAGGGGCGAGAACCACAAGCACAGTGGAATTGAACAGATTTTGGCACAAATCATGCAAGTATAAGTCGCTTGAATACGACAAATGAACATGTTTTAACTAAGGAAAAACAGAGAGAAGGCACAAACCCTCAAATCACAAGGTGAAGCAGAAGAAACCCAGATGAAGAAAACGGATAGACCAACCAAATTCACCCAGACAACAAAAGAATAGCGGCAGTAAGTTTTGGTGGGCACCTGAAGGGAGATGATCAGGAGTCACAGAGGCTGGCGTTTCAGTTGGAGAGCCCCAGCAATTCCCCATCTGAATCTACTTCTTATATTCTCCTTCCTTCCTTCCTTCCTTCCTTCCGTCCTTCCTTCTTCTTCCTGGGGGATCTTCTGCAGAGCGTGAGCTGAAAAAAACCTCCTTGTACCCAGGTTCAAGCAAAAGAGAATGAAGCTCTAACTCAGAGAGAGAGAGAGAGAGAGAGAGACTAGAGAGAGTTAGAGACAGAGACAGAGAAAGAACAAATCAGCAACCTCCTCACAGCAAGGTCTTCTTCAACCAAATTGCTCTCGTTTTCTTTTTCCTTATTCTATGTGCTTAATTTATCATTGACCGAGTCTTTGGCTCTTTGGGGGGGATAGATTATATCATGAATTGTATATTCATGGGCAGAAAAACAGGGACAAAAGGAAGGGAAAAAACAAACGAAAGAGGAAGGTGTTGGGGGGTGTTTCTTCGTTCTGGCGCGGGGCCGAGGAGGAGGAGGCTTCTGAGTCCAAGTCAACTTGCCGTGTCAGAGAAATTTTGCCCGGTCAAACTTGACGAAATTCAAGCCGTAAGAAAGTGACACTGCAACCACCGGGGGTTTCCCTCAGTGGTCACCCTTCTCAAATGAGAAAGGGAAGGTGGGGAGTTCGAATCCCCACCTTTGCAGGGTTAGAGGTGGGGCTGCGTAGTTTAAGACGTGGGTTTCGACGTTCACGCCCTGCAAGAGGTGGGGCGCAAGTCTGAGTGTGTATCGTGAGTGAGAAATAGAGTAGGATCGATAAAAAAAAAAAGAAAAGAAAGTGACACTGCGAAAATGAAATTCTGAATAAATAAAATACATTAATATTGCGGGCCGGTTGAAGCATTGAATGGAAATTGGGATTGGAAACCTACCTGGACTTTTCGTTCTTATTATTTTATATTATTTTTATTTTTATTTTTTCCCTTTGTTTTTTGACCCACCGTCCATATAAAAAAGTTGGGTTTGCTTTCCAAGTGGACTAGTAAAATACTCAAAAAAATATTCGTGCCAAAAGGGGAAAAGTACTCAAAAGTATTTGCATGAGTGAGTCTTAAGTTAAGGAAGAGGAAAGTATTGAAGTTATGTATGTAATCATCTAAAATGAATTTAAGAGTCTCTATGATATAAAGAGTCTTTTTTACGGGATCATAGCTATTGCCTAATTTTATTTTTTATTATTCATTCGATAGGGAAAAAAGAAAAAAACGATGACTCGTTTAAATAATAAGCGTGAGCAGTCATGGAAAAATAATAAAAAATAAGAGGTTTACAGCTTCCTTTGTGTAAACTGTCAAGTACTGCATTTTGGATGATCCTAGAATTCTACTTTTTAGTCAGCCACGTTAAATTGATAATGTAGGAATTACATTAGAAATGGATGAGCAAACGATGACAAAAGAAAGATTGCCCATCTTTATTAATTATATATAGCATATTGAATATAACACGAACTGAACTTTGTATATCTTCTTCATGAAGCTTTCTTTCTCTTTTCCCTATACCCTAAATACGAAAGAAAGCTTGAACAATAGATTTTGAGTACGAATAGCTTTTGAATATGTTCAAATGTGTGTATAAGGTTAATTTTCTTAATGGTATGGTTACATATGAATATAACTCATCTATATCTAACATGAAAGCTATTGCAAATGGGATGATCTTAGAGTTTTGATGTCATTTTTTTTTGCCATCTTTCTTAGTTGCCCCTCCTCCTTATCCTCTCTCTTCATTATTTAACTATTTAATTGTAGCTAATTTGTATTTAAGAAATGACTTTTGTTTTAACAAAATATTTTTTTCCTATGCTAGTTGTATATCCATTTGACTAATAATAAATAGTTTACAAGCTCTGACGCATTGTCAACTCGGCTTTTTTAGTGTTTTTCTTAAACTCTGTTTGCTTTACAGAAAATAAATGACTTGAAAAATAATTTTCTAAAAACGATTGCTTGTATAAAAAAAAAGTCATAGTCTACGAATATGTTTAGACATAAATTGTTGTCTATAATGAATACATTTTCCATTGACTAATTATTTTAAGCAATGCAAGTAATCATTCTTAGAAAAATATTTTTCAAATGATTTATTTTCTATAAAACAAACAATGCCTTAGACTCAAGTTTGTGGTCATTCAGATTACTATATTCATGAAGTATTCACCGTTATGTTTATTCCTAATTAATTGTCTCCTTAATCCGTGGTAATTTATTTCATTAATTCGTTACGACATGAACAGCCTTTTATTGCCTTCCTTATTAATATCCTTTAAGTTAATAATTTATTCAAACTTTTTGTAGCAACATTCTTATCGCAATAATCTCTCTCCTAACTTCTCATGTTTTAGGGCTTGTTTTATATAACTGAAAATTTAGCGCTAATAATTTAACGATTGAATTTTAAGTGTCGACAATTATAAGTGCTGAAAATGGAGAAAAAAAGTTGTTTGGCAACTATCTCTAAATCTAACTAATTTCTTATTATATATCGACTTATGATCAAGCTTCCAAACCTCGTCATCTTCCTCAACACGCATTGAAGTCTCGTCGGATCAAGCTTCATATGTTGAACTTTTGTTGAATGAAGCATCAACAACATCGAGATTTCGCAGGATCTTGCTTCAAAGCCTCATCACCTTTGTCATTGTTCGTCTGAATTCAATTGGATAAAGCTACAATGCCCCGAAGATTTCAAGAAATCAAGCTTCATTCAATGTCAATTGCTTAGGCAATTGCGGAGATATAATTTAATCCAGTTGTGAAGCTATAGATAGTATCCACATCGTTAGATATTAATAAATTTGGCACCAAATTTTCTTTTATGTAATTTATGCTCGAAATTTATTTGTGTGCAGTCGTATACATGTGTAGTCATTGTAACATCATTTTGACTCAATTTTGTTCATTGCTTTTTTTACTCTTTTTTATCTTATAGGATCCCACGGACAGTACGGGTTAAAAACCATAAATACAATATATTCACAAATCATATGTATTTGAAACATAATAAAGGTTAAACAAAATGGGTCATTACATTATGTTCGTGAGTTTGATTGCATAAGGTGCTTCAAAATTTGATAATTTACTTTTCTTTCCAAAATCTTGTTTTACTAAGTTTTTTTCCCTTAGATGTTTTGCATATGGGCCTTATGCCGTAGGTCCTCCATAAATATTTCTAAATTCCATTGATTAGTAGCTGAGACAGTCGTGTGATGTACTTCGTATTCCACAAGTACATCTACATCAACATCCAAGTGAGGACGTCATTTGTTTCGTAAAAAATGAATAATTTGAAAAAAAAATTGATTGAAATAATTAGTTAATGAAACATATTTTCATTATTAAAAATAAATTATGTCTAACTATTTTCATAGACGATGAAAATAATTTTAGCTCATTCATTTTTGTAAGCGGTACAAGTGATCATTTTTAGTAAAATATTTTCCAAACCATAAATTTTTCGTGAAATAAACGAATGATAAATTACTTGTATTTTTTAATATAATACTGAAATATATATTTTTTAAAATATTGTTAGAATTGTCTTACTTTAATGGCAATCCACACAGCACGCGGATTGCGATCGAATTTAATATGAAAAGTACTGCAGATGGGATGATATATTTTTTTTTTATTTTTTGTGTCAATTTTTGTCATTTTGCTTAGTTGGCAACATTAGAAGCTCCCCCATAATGCCACTAATTTATTGCCCTCCTCCTTATCCTCGCTATTTAAATTTACTATTTAGCTGTAACTCATTTATAGTTTTTTTTTTGGTCAAAACTCATGTATAGTTAAAAAAAATATGTTTTTCTTTAACAAAGTACACCCATTTAAACTTTTTCCTATATTAGTTAGTAAACAAAAGCTTCTATTGCTTTATGTGTATATGAGAAATATGAAAGATATTATATCGTTACAATTTCTTCTGACTTCAAAATTTAATTTTATGCGTACCTTTTACAATTAACGTCACCTTAGAGTATTGCGAGATTTGTGCTTATATAATATCTTAATTCCATTTGCAATTAAATTGTATTTTAATTTATATCTGTTGCATTTTTAATTATAATTCGCAAGACAATCCGCTCGATTCGCAGGTAAACGTCCGACTTGTCAAAAGTCTATTTACTCAGAGATGATTTGCTACATTATTGGGAAAGTCAATTTTGTGAACAAATTCTAGAATTCCTCTTCGAGCATCTGTACTTTCTTGGAGACAGCTTGATGCTAAAAGTAGTTCACTTTCTGCATATTCATGAACACTGCAACGTCATTGATGACCTAGAGATCTATGAAGTCACACAATGCAATAACATCTTAAAATCTCTTGACTTGAGCTAAAGTAGTTGGTGTAGTTTCCAACTAATTCATGTAGGGCCATCATTTATTTTCTATCTATCCAATTGGTGCTCTAAGTTAATGTATTATGAAAGATTATCGACAAAAAAGAAGTTTGCTAGAGACAGCGAAACTGAGTTTATCTTAAGCGCATTGCCAAAGGAAGCTTTTTGCTGCGCGAGCGACTCTATGATCAAGACACCGTGTACTCACTTTGATGGTGAACAACACTCATGTCGTGTGTAATCAATGTAACTCTGACCACCAACTCAATGTATAATAATCCGAGTTATGATAGAGCGTGTAACAACTAGTATTGGAGGGTGAGTTCGTGGGCGCTCATGCTTCAAGAGGTGTTTCTAGTGACTAATTGCCTAATTAGCTAAGGCTTTTGCGGCAAATGAATCATCGCAGGGTCTATTTCGGCTATAGTTTTGCAAAGGGAAAATTACCCAATCAATTCTAAACCTATTATTCAAATGTCAATTCAGTTATAAAGCTTCGCACGAAATTGCAATGCAGTCTGTCCAGTCAATTTTTGCTAGAAATTACTGACTTAGCAATTCAGTTATTGCACACTGCCACGTCAGCGATTTTCAGCGAAAATTGACTGGAGTGACTATATTGAAATTTCGCACAAAGGTATATGACTAAATTGGCAAAATTAGAAAGTTTAAGACTGAATTATCATTTGTATAATAGGTTTAAGACTAATTGGACAATTTCCCTGTTCTGCAAACCCTAGGATATACCATAGAATCACACGTTGAATGAGGAACATTACATGGGTGTTGTTGTATACGTACCGTGGTAAATCTGCATCATCGAAAAGCGCTAGGGTCTCGAGGGGGGGTCCCACCAGACCCGACCGTTCA